ACAGGTACTGTGTACCTGTAATATAGCTGTAACTTAAGGTGTTAGCTTCTCTCTTTGTATTCTTTCTTGTCTGTTAGTTATAACGAAGTAATTTTGCTTCATATAGTTCCCATTTGTAAGTAAAGGAACTTTGGGACAATTATATTAAAATCACGTATGTTTGTTTGAGGTAACTTGTACCACGTCCTCGATCCTCTCCTGGGAGAGTTGCTGTGAACTTGGAGCTAGATAATGTTAAGGAATTTGGTGCTGGTAGCAGGCATAGGCAGGCATCCATCGGTCTCAGGAGACTATGGAGTTACGCTCTGGTTGTCGGTTAGGAGTGGCCTCTCCAGGGCGCAGTGTCTGGGTAGGTTGATACGGAGAAGAAGCTGTTACCCATGCAGCAGGTTTCTCCTTTTCCACGGCGCCAACACGATTGGTTCCAGATTGGGGGTTAGTGAAGAGGATGGAGAGGCAAAGGTGAAGGGAAGAATTTAGGTAGAGGAAATATGGTACGAGTTAGGATAGCAGGCGGGCTGACCGCCTTGCTGACACGATGTGTGGGTGTTGGCAGCTAAGCTAAGCTGGCTCTCTCTCTTGTCAGGGAGCTGTGAGTGTGTGTGTGAGGTTCTTCACATGTGTTTCAGTATATATGGATGTGTATAGATGAATGTTGCGTTCACATATACACACTCAGATGCTTTCACACACATTTTGAAGCTCTGTTTTAGGGGTCTTTATTTTATTATTATTGATTTTTTATATTTTTTTTATTTAAGAAGGGCGTAAGGGGTTTCTGACAAGTATTTCATCTAGGAATTATGTATTATGGGGTTTTGTTTCCACTGACTAGTTAGATCGAGGCTCTTCGGTCACCAGCTGTGGGAGTGGGGCGTCTCATCTTGGGCCACCAGCTGTGGGAGTGGGGCGTCTCATCTTGGGCCACCAGCTGTGGGAGTGGGGCGTCTCATCTTGGGCCACCAGCTGTGGGAGTGGGGCGTCTCATCTTGGGCCACCAGCTGTGGGAGTGGGGCGTCTCATCTTGGGCCACCAGCTGTGGGAGTGGGGCGTCTCATCTTGGGCCACCAGCTGTGGGAGTGGGGCGTCTCATCTTGGGCCACCAGCTGTGGGAGTGGGGCGTCTCATCTTGGGCCACCAGCTGTGGGAGTGGGGCGTCTCATCTTGGGCCACCAGCTGTGGGAGTGGGGCGTCTCATCTTGGGCCACCAGCTGTGGGAGTGGGGCGTCTCATCTTGGGCCACCAGCTGTGGGAGTGGGGCGTCTCATCTTGGGCCACCAGCTGTGGGAGCGGGGCGTCTCATCTTGGAGTAATCTTTCTAACATTGGGTCCTCTAACATTTCGATGGTGTTCCACACCCTGATGGCTTGGTGCTGTAGTCTGATGTTTAGTGGCTGATGTTTAGTGGCTGATGTTTAGGAGGGTTTGGGCAAAATGTGACCAGTCGCCGTTTGACCAATGAAGTTTGAAACTTCAAAATGTGTATTATATGTATCAATCACCTTCAATTACCCTCAAAAATAGTACTCAAGCTATTTTTGAGTGTAATTGGTCATTACATTCAACATTCAAGTTTAACCCACCTGTTCCCAGCACCTAGCTTCATTACATTGTAAATACTAGGATTAAACTCTAGTAACCACTTGTTGGATATTGGAATAGGTGAAGCTCCCTGAGCACGTCAATAATCCAAGTTCCTTTAGCTAAAAATTTCTAATTTGTCTTTATCCTGCCTTAAGAAGGTCATTGAGTAACTTGTTATTCCTTATCCCTCTCTAGGTATAAAAAAAATTCACGAGTTTTCATTCTATTTCTTACTTTTATGTTGTTACTAATCAATATCAACCTTTCTTTTATCTATCTTCAGCTTTCTTTTATCTATCTTCAGCTTTCTTTTATCTATCTCCAGCTTTCTTTTACCCATATCCAGCTTTCTTTTACCCATCTCCAGCTTTCTTTTACCCATCTCCAGCTTTCTTTTACCCATATCCAGCTTTCTTTTACCCATCTCCAGCTTTCTTTTACCCATATCCAGCTTTCTTTTACCCATCTCCAGCTTTCTTTTACCCATATCCAGCTTTCTTTTACCCATCTCCAGCTTTCTTTTACCCATATCCAGCTTTCTTTTACCCATCTCCAGCTTATTTCCTTTGTCTATCTCCAACTTTTTTTCTATCCCTCTGTTCCTTCCCTCCTTCCTATGTTGCGTCTATCTCTCACCTCTCTTCCTGTTCCTGCAGCCGTCTTGCGTCTCCTGCTACCGATGTAAAGGAGATTCCTTTCTCCAGTCCGGAATTCGGTACAAAGTTCTCCATCCCAAAGGTCTTATCCTCCACTTCTCCCCTTTATCCTTATTTCTTCCGACCCTCGTATTTCGCCTCCTTGCTTCCTTGTCACTCTTGAAGCAGCTCCCTGAAGGTGTCTGAACGCCTTGAATAGTGCAGGCAATTCTATGTCTTCAAGACATATTTTCCATCGTTTTTTTTTACAAATTTTTGTTTCCTGTTGTAGATTCTAGCTGCTGTTCCATTTTTAATACCTGTTTTTTGGTTCGCAATACCTGTTTTTTGGTTCCCAGCATCTGTTTTTTTTGTTCACAATACCTGTTTTTGGTTCACAATACCTGTTTTTTGGTTCCCAGCATCTGTTTTTTTTTGTTCACAATACCTGTTTTTGGTTCACAATACCTGTTTTTTGGTTCACAATACCTGTTTTTGGTTCACAATACCTGTTTTTGGTTCCCAATGCCTGTTTTTTGGTTCACAATACCTGTTTTTGGTTCTCAATACCTGTTTCTGGTTCCCAACACCTGTTTTTGGCTCCCAATACCTGTTTTTTGGTTCACAATACCTGTTTTAAGTTCCCAACACCTGTTTTTTGGTTCCCAACACCTGTTTTTGGTTCCCAACACCTGTTTTTTGGTTCCCAAAACCTGTTTTTGGTTCCCAACACCTGTTTTAGGTTCCCAACACCTGTTTTTTGGTTCCCAACACCTGTTTTAGGTTCCCAACATCTGTTTTTTGGTTCCCAACACCTGTTTTTGGTTCCAACACCTGTTTTTTGGTTCCCAACACCTGTTTTTGGTTCCCAACACCTGTTTTAGGTTCCCAACACCTGTTTTTTGGTTCCCAACACCTTTTTTTTGGTTCCCAACACCTGTTTCTGGTTCCCAACACCTGTTTTTTGGTTCCCAACACCTGTTTCTGGTTCCCAACACCTGTTTTTTGGTTCCCAACACCTGTTTCAGGTTCCCAACACCTGCTTTTGGTTCCCAACACCTGTTTCTGGTTCCCAACACCTGTTTTTGGTTCCCAATACCTGTTTTTGGTTCCAAACACCTGTTTTTTTGGTTCCCAACACCTGTTTCTGGTTCCCAACACCTGTTTTTTGGTTCCCAACACCTGTTTCTGGTTCCCAACACCTGTTTTTTGGTTCCCAACACCTGTTTTTGGTTCCCAACACCTGATTTTTGGTTCCCAACACCTGTTTCAGGTTCCCAACACCTGTTTTTGGTTCCCAATACCTGTTTTTGGTTCCCAACACCTGTTTTTGGTTCCCAACACCTGTTTCTGGTTCCCAACACCTGTTTTAGGTTCCCAACACCTGTTTTTTGGTTCCCAACACCTGTTTTTTGGTTCCCAACACCTGTTTTTGGTTCCCAACACCTGTTTTTGGTTCCCAACACCTGTTTTAGGTTCCCAACACCTGTTTTTTGGTTCCCAACACCTGTTTTTGGTTCCCAACACCTGTTTTAGGTTCCCAACACCTGTTTTTTGGTTCCCAACACCTGTTTCTGGTTCTCAACACCTGTTTTTTGGTTCCCAACACCTGTTTCTGGTTCCCAACACCTGTTTTTTGGTTCCCAACACCTGTTTTTTGGTTCCCAACACCTGTTTTTGGTTCCCAACACCTGTTTTTTGGTTCCCAACACCTGTTTTTTGGTTCCCAACACCTGTTTTTGGTTCCCAACACCTGTTTTAGGTTCCCAACACCTGTTTTTTGGTTCCCAACACCTGTTTTTGGTTCCCAACACCTGTTTTAGGTTCCCAACACCTGTTTTTTGGTTCCCAACACCTGTTTCTGGTTCTCAACACCTGTTTTTTGGTTCCCAACACCTGTTTCTGGTTCCCAACACCTGTTTTTTGGTTCCCAACACCTGTTTTTGGTTCCCAACACCTGATTTTTGGTTCCCAACACCTGTTTCAGGTTCCCAACACCTGTTTTTGGTTCCCAATACCTGTTTTTGGTTCCCAACACCTGTTTTTGGTTCCCAACACCTGTTTTTGGTTCCCAACACCTGTTTTTGGTTCCCAACACCTGTTTCTGGTTCCCAACACCTGTTTTCGGTTCCCAACACCTGTTTTTTGGTTCCCAACACCTGTTTTTTGGTTCCCAACACCTGTTTTTGGTTCCCAACACCAGTTTTAGGTTCCCAACACCAGTTTTAGGTTCCCAACACCTGTTTCTGGTTCCCAACACCTGTTTCAGGACCCCAACACCTGTTTCTGGTTCCCAACACCTGTTTCAGGTTCCCAACACCTGTTTTAGGTTCCCAACACCTGTTTTTAGGTTCCTAACACCTGTTTTTGGTTCCCAACACCTGTTTCAGGTTCCCTTGTCTCGTCCTATTCAAAAAGGACGTAATTTTGGCTCTGGAGTCCATCTTGCAGATTAAGATATTTGATGCCCTTTTCTTCACAGGTTTCTATATCTTTCTCTCTTCACTTCCTTAATTTACTCATATTTCCCTCCTTCCTTTAATTCATGTCTCCCTTCCCTCTTCCTCTCGCGGTTTCCTCGCCTTTGTCACTCTTCCATTTATTTCCGGAAGGGAATATGTTGGTTGGTTTGGACACAGGTGTTGAATCTGAGAAGGTTGAGTTAATCACACGTCTTTCAAGATTTAGTTCCTCTCTCCCACTACCTGTCTTCTTCCTGCTTTCACTTGTTATGTATTATTATTTTCCTCTTTTGATTTTCTTATTAATGTTTTACCTTGTTTATTTTATACTATCTCTCTGAGTTCCAGTATCTCCTTTCGTTCCTGTATCTTCCCTCGTTCCAGTATCTTCATTCGTTCCAGTATCTTCGTTCGTTCCAGTATCTTCATTCGTTCCAGTATCTTCATTCGTTCCAGTATCTTCATTCGTTTCTGTATCTTCCTTTGTTCTAGTATCTTCATTCGTTCCAGTATCTTCATTCGTTTCTGTATCTTCCTTTGTTCTAGTATCTTCATTCGTTCCAGTATCTTCATTCGTTTCTGTATCTTCCTTTGTTCTAGTATCTTCATTCGTTCCAGTATCTTCATTCGTTTCTGTATCTTCCTTTGTTCTAGTATCTTCATTCGTTCCAGTATCTTCATTCGTTTCTGTATCTTCCTTTGTTCTAGTATCTTCATTCGTTCCAGTATCTTCATTCGTTTCTGTATCTTCCTTTGTTCTAGTATCTTCATTCGTTCCAGTATCTTCATTCGTTTCTGTATCTTCCTTTGTTCTAGTATCTTCATTCGTTCCAGTATCTTCATTCGTTTCTGTATCTTCCTTTGTTCTAGTATCTTCATTCGTTCCAGTATCTTCATTCGTTTCAGTATCTTCATTCGTTCCAGTATCTCCCTTCGTTCCAGCCTCCTATTCCAACATATCCGTCGTTACAGACCCCAGTATTTCAGCATATGCCTCGTTCAGGCAAGCTCTCCTCGCTCCAAAGCATTCCTCTTTCCAGCTTTTCATGTAACTACAAACTTCTCAGCCATGGAACTTCTGCCTCTCCTTAAAAGTTTTCCCGTCCTCAGGTGGTCATTGACGAGGCGCGGAGAATGTTAAGACTTAGTACTGAAGAACGATGGTTGAGTATTATGTGGTTGCCTGTGGTGGCTCTCATTGATGCAAGGGAGTTAAAGATTCGCTACCTGGAACAAAAAGATCCAAGTAGCACGGGCTATGGTGAGCCCGTAGTGGAGTTATAAGGGAGTTGTGGTTGTCTTTGTCCTCTCTCTCTCTCTCTCTCTCTCTCTCTCTCTCTCTCTCTCTCTCTCTCTCTCTCTCTCTCTCTCTCTCTCTCTCTCTCTCTCTCTCTCTCTCTCTCTCTCTCTCTCTCTCTCTCTCTCTCTCTCTCTCTCTCTCTCTCTCTCTCTCTCTCTCTCTCTCTCTCTCTCTCTCTCTCTCTCTCTCTCTCTCTCTCTCTCTCTCTCTCTCTCTCTCTCTCTCTCTCTCTCATCTTTATCTTTTACTTTCTCCTGAAACTCTCCTCTGCTTTCTGTCCCTCACTCTCCTTCTCTCCCTTCGTTCCAGCATCTTCCCTTCAGCATCTCACAGTGGAGAGATCTTATCTTATATTTGTTAACGTGGTTTATTTTGTTCTGTATCTTTACTGGTTCTTATTATTTATATTCCTCAGAGTCTTTATTTTCTTAATCTTATTTCCCCTTTCTGTTTCTTGTTCTTCTTCTAACTCTTTTTTTAATCTTCTAATTCATTTTTTCTTCTTTCTCTTCTAATTGTTATTTTTTTTTAATTCTTATTTCTCTTCTTAATTTTTCCAATAAACTTTCTTTTCTTCAGTCAAAACCACTGTATTCAAGATTTATTGATTTATTTATTATTAAGAATCTCTGTAACTAGAGAATAATAGAATTTAATGATTTAGTGATTAATGTAATTATAGAATAATATAATTAGTGATAAAATTTCGCTATTATTAAAAATCTATATAACTAATCCTCTGAAGAATTATTAAGAATCTCTGGAAGAAAGTCATCTTATTACCTCAATAAAGTTAAGTTTGGTCTCTTCGAGACGAGCATCTTTATTTTATCTTGAACCCCACAATCCTTGCATGGTAATGCGGGCTGCTGCCAGCAACAGAACAATTGATCATATTAGAAAAACTCTCGACATCTCCTATAGGTGCACTCTGGCACGGGGTAACGTGACTCCTGCAGTGCCAGATGCAACAGCCTGATTGATCAAGTAGAAACAACTGCACGACTGCTGCGAGAACAGCAGTTTTCATTTGGTCTGGTAACGGAGGATATAGTTTGGACTCGTTAACTATGCTACCTGTGTGTTCCAAGCCTTCAACAGCCATGCCACAGGTGTGTAATGTTGTGAGCAAGGCTTGGAACGTTGGGAGCAAGGCTTGGAATGTTGGGAGCAAGGCTGGAATGTTGGGAGCAAGGCTGGAATGTTGGGAGCAAGGCTTGGAATGTTGTAAACAAGGCTTGGAACGTTGTAAACAAGGCTTGGAACATTGTAAACAAGGCTTGGAACGTTGGGAGCAAGGCTTGGAACGTTGTAAAGAAGGCTTGGAACGTTGTAAACAAGGCTTGGAACGTTGTAAACAAGGCTTGGAACGTTGTAAACAAGGCTTGGAACGTTGTAAACAAGGCTTGGAACGTTGTAAACAAGGCTTGGAACGTTGTAAACAAGGCTTGGAACGTTGTAAACAAGGCTTGGAACGTTGTAAACAAGGCTTGGAACGTTGTAAACAAGGCTTGGAACGTTGTAAAAAATCTCTGTACTCACTCCCAATACATATTCCACAAGAAGGGATTTTCAGTTCATTTGAACGAACAAAATTTTCATTTTCCGTGCAGGAGGGAGCCGGTCGGCCGAGCGGACAGCACGCTGGACTTGTGAACCTGTGGTCCCGGGTTCGATCCCGGGCGCCGGCGAGAAACAATGGGCAGAGTTTCTTTCACCCTATGCCCCTGTTACCTAGCAGTAAAATAGGTACCTGGGTGTTAGTCAGCTGTCACGGGCTGCTTCCTGGGGGTGGAGGCCTGGTCGAGGACCGGGCCGCGGGGACACCTAAAGCCCCGAAATCATCTCGACAACCTCAACCTCAAGGAGTCTGACGGTATCTGGAGAGAGCTTATCTGCATTAACTTGAAATACTGATGAAAGATAATAAAAATAGTATTCCTATTTAACCTTACTACTGTAGCTAACAATTTTCAGAACTGAAGTTTCGTTTCCGGTGTTAAAACCTCGTATGAAACTCATACTAATGTTTCTTTGTTTTGATATTAAAGACCTGTTTATGATCTCACGAAGACCTTAGACCTGTTTCATTCCTGTTGAAACTGAGTTTCAGGGCACCTGGGTGTTTGTTTTCGCGGCTTGTTAGTGTTTTTTATTGACCGGGGAAAGGGGGGGGGGGGGGTTGTTTAGTTCTGAAGTCAGGTACTAGAACTGGTTGGGTTATTCAGAGGTGTAAAGCAAAGCTAATTGTTTTTCATCCTGGTTCCCAATTTCTGTTGGGTACAGGAGATAGAATGGAACATTCTATCTCCTGGTTCCCAATTTCTGTTGGGTACAGGAGATAGAATGGAACATTCTGTGTGCTCACTCTGTGGCCTAGTGGACAGCGTTCTTGGAGAACCCATTCACTAGGCCAAAGAGTGTTTTAACCGTCCGATAACTAGTATTTCTAGTACTGACTTACAACCACCTGCACATAAGGGCAAGAATTTTTATGAATATATTTAACATTTTCAAGTAAATTTGGATATAATTTACCTAGAAGAGAAGTATGAAATTGATGTTGACAGCAGAAACCTTGTGGCTGCTTTTCCTGTAAACACAGGTTTTCAGGTGTATGAAAGACACATGTATATAGGACACAGGTTTTCAGGTGTCATTTTGGATGACACATTGTACGTGTCTCTAGCATTTATCATTATCAAATAAAACAACACTTATATATATGGTCATAACATAAATTTTATATTGAAAATTACAGTGTGTTTCAATCTTGTAAATGCGAGATTTTAATATTTTATGTTATTGAAGAACAGTTGCATATTTCTTGCAGTGAACACAACATTTCTAATGTAATTTTTATTGCTTGTGTGGAGAGCCTCTCGTGGAGCTCAGAGGGAGGGAGAGAGAGAGAGAAAGAGGGGAAAAAGAGAGAGAGAAAGAGAGAGAGAGTTAGAAAGCATATGAAGGCGGATCAAGAATGAGATAATTTTTTTTTAATATATCTAAATATTATTAGTAGAGTGTGGCGTTACGTTAAAAGTGATTAGACACCTTTTTCAATTGTATTCACGCTATTCGACCCAAGTTTTGAGGACGATTATTGGAAAAAAAAATAATTGATTTCGGCTGTTTATATTCGTATCTCCCTGTTAGGGATTTTTTGTACAAGCGTCGAGGCCGTCACCACACACACACACACACCCACACACACACACACACACACACACACACACACACACACACACACACACACACACACACACACACACACACACACACACACACACACACCCGCCACCACCATCAGTTCTCACTCTCTCACATTACATTTTTTCCAAGCGTTCACAAAGGCTTAGTGTGGCAACAATTAGGCCTAATGTAACTACCGTAATTAACCACTACCTGGACCCACACCTTTGATGCAGATATCACCATGGCAACCACCAATGAGGAAATAGAGGGGGGGCCAAGAAATTAGAGATTGTGATAGCGGAGGAGAGTGAGAGAGTTTAGGAGGGTTGAGTGATTAGTGGTTAGTGTGTGTGTGTCACTAGTTGTTAGTGATGGTTAGTGTGTGTGTGTCACTAGTTGTTAGTGATGGTTAGTGTGTGTGTGTCACTAGTTGTTAGTGATGGTTAGTGTGTGTGTGTCACTAGTTGTTAGTGATGGTTAGTGTGTGAGTTCGAATCCCGGGCGGGACAGAAGTGGTTGGGCACATTTGCTTTCACCTAATGCCGCTGTTCACCTAGCAGTGAGTAGGTACCTCGGGAGTTAGTTGTGGGGTTGCATCCTGGGCGGGGTCATTAATATATATATATATATATATATATATATATATATATATATATATATATATATATATATATATATATATTCACGAAGCAGTTACGCAAGCACTTACGAACGTGTACATCTTTCCTCAATCTTTGACGGCTTTGGTTACATTTATTAAACAGTTTACAAGAATGAAAATTTGCCAATCAACTGTTGTTATTGTTATAAACAGCCTCCTGGTGCTTCGGAGCTCATTATAACTGTTTAATAATTGTAAACAAAGCCGCCAAAGATTGAGGAAAGATGTACAGGTTCGTAAGTGCTTGCGTAACTGCTTTCGTGAATTTGGCCCCAGGTGGAGCCCTGCAGATGGTGAGATAATTCCTTTAATTTGTGTAGTTTAATTGGCCAGTTGAGTATCGATTGTAATTACGGCATTTCTCAATGGGGTGTTCCGGTTATCTAGCAGGATAACCCAACATTTACAGGCAGGTTATATAGGTTCACCAGTGTTATCTTGCGGTTACCATGTGTTGGTTCCGGGGGGGTCAAGCTCCCCACGGTCTCTGACCAGGCCTCCTGGTTGATGCTCTGGTCAAGCAGGCTGTTGGACGCGGCTGCTCGCAGCCTGACGTGCGAACCACAGCCTGGTTGATCAGGCATCCTTTAGAGGTATTTAGTATTATTTCTGTAGCTCTTACTGTGCAACATTTCTGGTCTGCGACCTGCAACAGTCCATTATTTAATATAAGTGCAAGTGGGTACTGCAGGCTTGGACAGCTTGCAAACTAGGCTAAGAGGGTCACGGCCCTAATCTCGTTAACAAGGACAAGAGCTTAACAGGTCAGGAGTTCTGTGGTTCCATTCGA